CAGCATTAGTGATTGTATATTGTAATTTTAGATAATGCAAGCTTTTAATAATAAATACAATGTTTTTTTTTTGTTTTATATACTTTTTTGTTTTTTAATCATTTCCTTAAATGTTATAAAATCTTTAAAGGTAAATAACAAGATATACATATGTGTGCATACTATGAATCATATGTCAGAAATAAATTTATTGAAAAATACAAGGAAACTTATATGTTGTGGTGTATAACATATTTATATAATGCACATATATTTAGGTAAACATTAGGAAATTTTAGTAGTATAGTAAAATTTCTATATTACAGGAACTTTTATAAATATAAAAATACTTACCGGTTGTCCCAATGTATGTCCTTCTACAATTTGCTCCTTTCTATATCTATTGATGACTGCATCGAGACATTCAAATACTCTTCCACCCATGAGATATCTGACTCCTTTCTTCTCTATCCTGAACCTTTGTATCTGGTTGTTAATATGAAAGAACAGGGAGTAATCCCCGGGCGAGTTGTCCGAGGGCCTGACGAGGAAGCTGCCAGGTCCAGCCTTCACCAGCATGTCGACAGCTTCGCTCTTCGTGCAGTTCGGATGGAACCACGAGAATACGGTGTTAGGATCGATGGAGGGATCCAAATCCTCGACCAATTCCCTGAAGATCATACCTTGCTCCCCCGTACTGTTGGAATTTTTTTATTAAGAAACAGATAAAAATAAAGATTACATCAGATTTATATTAGGATTACAATTAAGGAATTTTAGTCGTTATTAAATTTTTAAATTAGTGTCAATTTGTTTTTATAAGAATTTTATTGGGGTTTTACGAAGTTCTGTGTCATTATTATATTTTGTTATTGTTTTGAGACATAAAATAGCAGAGGTTTTTGTGAATGAAGTTTTAGAATTTATTTTAGAAAATAATTTGGTTGAAACTTAAAGTAACAGGTTAATTGGCATAATCCGTTATTTATTTTAACATCGGCTAATAATTTGTAAACTTAACGACTGGAAAAAACCTACATCCAACTTATGGCATTCAGAATATAAAAAATATCGGAAACAGATATTACAAATACGGATGTAAATGAAACATCGATATCCTTACAAATAGCAACATTCATCACTACTTCCGTTTATTATTATTAATTAAAATAATTAGCCATGTAAAGGATTACTGCAGTGAAATATTTTTTTTAATGCAGTTATTATCGTCGTTTATTACAGTTTTTGATATGCTTCAAAAGTTTTAAAAATGTCCGGTTTCATTCATCTAAAAATTTAAATTCAACATAAAAGTAAAAACCTTTGTTATTCCACTTTCATAAATTGTCATCTCGAAACACCCTATATATTAATCTATATCACAGTAGGTACAATTTAAATCAAATTATTTAACAAACAATTAGTTATTACAAATTATTAGTTTATATAAATTACCGATGCGCCGTGACCCATAGCCAGCCGTCGCCCATGTCGTTGTGCACGAAGAAAATGTCGCCCTTTTGGAACGTGAGCTCATCCGTGTCCGGCATCTTGGTGTAAGGCAGTATTGCTACAACGCGCTGTTAAACACAAAACAATTTCAAAAAATTTAAATATATTTTTATACTAAGAGCAACTGGGCGGGAAAAAAAGAATATAGCAGATTATCGCGTGTAGCGTCATACAGTGAAAGAATATTTAAAATTGGTTCAGTAGTCTCGGAGCCTATTCAATGCAAGTAAAAAATCAAATATTTCTTTTTATTTCATGAGTCTAATTTCAACACTCGCAATGTTATAGAATTCTCTTACACTACAAGTGAAAAGTTTGAAACTATCAAAGGCCTGATGATATGGTTGTTGTTTTGAATCTCACATTTGACTTATGTCGTGAAACAAAACAGCATATGTTTCAATCTTTCTTTTTTTTTTAGTTTTTAATTGTTTTAACTAACTTATTTACAAAGATTTTTACCTTTTTATCGTTAACAGGTTCAGGAGGTGGAACAGGCTCGACCAATCGTTCTCTTTTTAGCAGATCGGAGCAGTGACTGTAGAAGCCCACTAACTCCGTCAGGGAATCGAACTGGCGACCGCCAATGTAGTAGTCCCCACATACTGCGGTGATTCTGGACAAATTGATAGTTTATTTTGATAAAATTAAAATTCCATAACTTCTTTAGTATGCTTACTAAAATTTTGTATCTTTACATATGTGGATAAACTTGTGCTATAACTGAAATATTTTAAGTAATTTACCTAAAATGATTGATCCCAGTTCGTCCCAAATAACTCAATACATAAGAGCCTGGTTTTCTATCACTTTCACGCACTGAAAGTAAAATACAAGTTAAGAACATTTGCTATAGATATTATCTTATTCTTACTAATATTACAAATATGAATGTTTAGATGGATGTATTGATGTTTGTTTGAAGGTATCTCTGGAACGACAGAATGGCTCTCAATGAAATTTGGCATACACATAGAACATAGTCTGGAAGAATGCATAGGCAACTTATTATGTTTTATATTACCCGTAGACAGAATCCTGGGCCCCCGACTAGTATTGAAATAAATATAAGAGTTCTATATAGCAATGTATATAAATAGCAGCTGTCTTAAAACTATATTTTAGCCGTTATACTTAAAATTGTATGTGTCCTACATACTTTTGTATAAAAGTACAAACAATAACCAATTGATTTGAAACATTATTAAGAAACATGCATAATCACTATTGATTTCCATGGGAACATAATATTGCATACACATTGTCTATTGTTATAAAAATAGGACAAGCTGAATAATGTGACAAGATTGAAACTCATAAAATATGATTTGATATCAAAAGGTTGGATCAAAATTGAAATTTAGCAATTAATTATTTTTATATATATTATTTCCTTTTGTCACATCAAAGATTGTACTTTACTCCTTTCTTTTCTATAATACACACAGTATAAAGCCCTTATTACTTTGGTTAAAGTTTTAGATTGTTATCTGTATTGATCAATTCTATGCAAACTTATAACTGCATAAATAAACCATAAAATATTAAATTTATTATAATTACTTTAAAGAGACAATTTCAATTAGTGTCTCAAACCATGATATTAATAAAACTGTTATAAATAGAAATATTATATACCAATTTTAACTGCAGTTTTTTAATTAATTTACATGATATTTTCATGAACTAACTACAAATATATAAATTTTTATATACCCAGATAACTCCCTTGCTTGCTTGCTGCCCACAGCCTTTCCTCGGATGTATATCTGTCCAAACGGCCATGGTACCACTCTGATTCTGGTGGGGCCAGCACTGCTTGACGTTCACCTAGACAAATACTTTTTAAATGATGTGTAATCCTTTTTAGTTTAGTTTAGTGCACTTATGACAATATTCATTTTTTAAAACTTATCATAATTATCTATATAAAATACACACATTTATTAAAAAAATTTAGTTACAAATCTTAAAAAGAGCATGTTTATTTTAACAAGAAATAAAGTTACCATGTTCTGTAGTAATGAGATAATTATAACTTTGTAACTGTAACATAAAGCAATGACAAGAACTAGTTCCTTAAATATAAATAGAACAAAGATAAGTACTATCAACATAAAATAACATACAATGTATATTATGGTCAGACCATCAAATCAAGTTTTGTTTATATATTGAGTATTTCATTCTAAAAAATTCTATTAAAATTGCATCCAAAAAATGTTTAAGGTTGAATAGACAAATAAAAAAGCTAATTACAAATACGACTAAGTTAAGTTACTTAGGTTACATATGTATAATCCACATATTAGTGGAATTTGTTAAACTCCTTTTTAGTAGAAATTATATACGAATTTTGAAAATTTAATCAAAATATAAAATCATATACGCACCATTAGTACTAGGACCATCAGCTTCGTCTAATTCTAGATCTGCAGCTAATTCGGCTGGATCTGCACCGCCGTCTTCAGATTCAGTTGATGGAGACCCTAACTTATCCTTTACAGGGGGTCCTATTGGAGCCCCCATAGCGCGTATTAAATCAGCCATTTTAATCGGTGCTACCCTAAGTCCTTAAATGCGCAAATAAAAAGGCAATGACTCACACATTATTCATCGACATAGTAATATGAAATTTATAAGATATGGGTAACGTGTTTACAGCCAATATTTTAATCACTACGTATCAATTTCCGATCATTGAAAGAACACACAAAAAGGAGGATCAATCACTTATAATTTTCTAAGCAAATATAGTGAAAATCTTTAAGGATAATGCTTTAATGTAATTATAATTTAAATTTAAGATTAAAACACTTATGTATCGGTACGCCCGACCAATAATTACATACAAAAGTCAAAGAGTATGACAAAGTTTATATAAAAATTATACAACAGATTAACTATATGGATGTTGATTGTCAAATTGGAAAACCACAGATAAGAATCGTCAAAAACGTCAATATCTTGTTAAAAGTAAAACTTTATTTGCGAAAATATCTCGAAATGTTTTGATTTTATAAGATTCGGTCTTGTAACAGAATAGTTACAGTTATGAAGTTCACGGCGATGCACTTACTCAGCTCTAATCAACCTGAACATTTATGACCAATTGGTTTAAAATAGATGTGCATAATTTTAGTCCTTCCCATTTGTTTATCAACTTACTGTTTAACGGATAGGCCTGACCGGATTTTCGACCTCGTAAGGCGTAAAGTAGAATACTCTGCGTTTTATCTAATCAGTGACATGCTAGAACTAATTCTCTCCTATACCGTTTCAGTAATATCTAATTAAGAACAAAAGGTAAGGAAAGGAGGATGGGTCGGGGAAGGTAATAATGTTTTTATTTACATTCGTTAAAGTAGGCAACACCACGTGAATAGGCAGCAGCCAGCAGCCGTTAAATATTTTAGCAATATAAGTCGCCAGACTTATTTGCCAAAAATGGTAAGAAGGCATGACAATTTAATTAATTTAAATAATGTATCTGAATAAAACAAGACTAGAATTGTTAACATTTTTATTGGGAGGCGAAACGAGCAAAGTTCGGGATAATTTTTTTAATACAAATCAATAAATTGTATTACATACACCTCATAAATCGTCAAGTCCATCTATTTAATTATAGTAAGTTAAGATTATAGTAACAAGAACAAGAATACATATAACAAATGTTTATTTTACATTAAATACTCGACTCGCAGCAATAGTCATCGAGGCTAAAACTTGGTGTCGGTTAAATATATTTCTTAAATAATAAACCTTTAACTTTGTACCAGAATAATATATTCGTGACGCCATGAAAGTTGTCTAAATACTTATTTTATTGGAACTACAACCGTCTCCGTCTTTCAATACTAAGTTAGTTGATGGTGGCAGCACCACACACTTAAAAATATCTCGTAACTGAAAGATTTAGATTTGAGATAATCCCAACACCAAATTAGCTTCGAATCAATGCTACGTTACGTTCTCATTACAAAACGACACCGAGTAAATATTACTTTCAACCGCCAAACAGCTAGAGAATGTTTAAGAGTCATTAAAATATTTATTACAACAACAAGTAAGCCCAATTAATGGAAGGATAGCGTTTGAAGAACTGAGCGTCTGGTTAAATATTATTTTATTTGTAAAGAAAGCAATGGCCGCTCGCCGCCGTATGCATATTCCAAACACGTATAACACTGAAACATTCTTATAACATCGAAAAATGTTTTTATTTGATCAAATACTTACATTAAATAGACACTTGAAGATAGAACGATTACTATATGAACTTACATAATACGCCTAACATTAGATCTAGGTATTGTCTTTTGTATGCCAGAAATGGTAAAATGGGGTCCATAATGATGTTAATTGGCAAAGTATTGAACGTTAATGAATTACATGTTAAAGTTGATATTTATGTTAAATTTGACTTAGAAGTATGAAATGTTGTTTAAATTAATGTTAGCAACCCCAATAGCTGCATGCATAACATACAATGATGATGATGTGATACAAAAAACGCATCTAAATCATTATATTTGATTTATCACAATGATTTTTAAATTACATATTTTTTTTCCAATAATACACATCAAACAGTAATACGCCATGAGATCTGGCAAGATTTAACAACAACCTCCCTCTCTTGATAAATATATCGTTACGTTGTATACATTTCATATAAATACCCGCAAAGATATATAACTATAAATTCTAATCTCATACAAACTAGTTACATCGTAATACTAAAACAAACACGGGAACAAGATTTCTATTTTAATAGATAAAATTAATACACGTCTAATTAATATTATTTGGTGGCAGGACAAAAAACCAAATGTTACAATGAATATTGTAAAATAAAACAATACAAATTAAATGTATTGATCATAAAGTCATACATTAAAAATAATGCTGACATCAATAAATACCACATGAAGTAATTTTCAGACATTTTGCGCATTCCATTGTTTCGCCGTAGAAGTTTATCCTTACAATTTCAATTTACCCCAATTTAAACGATTTTTTTAATTATAAATTAATAAATAAATCACGTATTCCGTTAATCATAGACAGTTGAATACATTAGGAAAGTAAAAAATTAAAAACTGTTAAATTTAAGCGCAGTCCAGTGTACCAACTAGTTACGGGCCCGTTGGAGGAGGGCACTAGTCTTATCTCAAGTTCACACTGAGAAAGGGCCCTGTGAGGCCCGAAAAAAAAACGGTAATTACACTAAACTAGGCATAAGTTGATTAATTAGTTTATTAAAAATGTACCAATGGAGTTTTAACTTTATATTTTAGGTTTTTAGGACTTCTGCGAGACAAAAATATAGTTATGGATTTTATTATTAGTTCTGCGGTAAATCTTAAAAATTGACCAACGATAATTATTATCGTTAAAAATTAGAATTATTTAGAAGGTGTTTAAAAATAGTATAAATATAGTCCAAGATGAACTGTTTTTACTATGAATGGAAAACCACTGAAGGGAAGACAAAGTGTCTACAGATTTTTTACTATTCGGGATATTTCAGTTAAATGACTATACTAATCATAGATATTGAGCTTTGAGCGACGGATAGAAGTTATTTGTCATTTTAATACTGATTCATAAATATATGGATACTATTTAAACATCGATACAAACAACAATACTACCTATATTTCAGGCTAAAGAGGTAACTATTTCCAAAAAACTTTTTAAATGTTAAAATTTTATTATAATGAATTTAATACGTGATTTTAAAATAGAACTCCGTATATGAACTACATCGTGATTTTGAGATAGGCAAAACACAAATTGCGCAGTGAAATCTCAAGCGGTAGTCATTGACAATAGTGGAATGAATATGTTTAGTGTGCCTTTATGTGTTTACATGTTTGGCAACGGCACAGTGACTTGTACGTAGCTGATGGGGAAGTAGCCCGTCTTGCCGTTGACAGAGCCCTCGAACCAGTTCTCGTCCACTTTGCTTATCAACGTGATCACGTCGTTCTCCTGAATTGTTACATCAAACTTTCATTTATTTGTACTCTCTTTCTGAATTATAATATATTACGATAAATTTTAAAGTTGCGTACGGTCAATCGGTACTAGAAAAAGGTTACCTTGAATCCCAGCTCTCCAGGGTTTTCTGGTTCGAAATCATAGAGTGCCGTGCAGCAAGGGCCCTTCGCTGGTGCCATGGGTGTCCGCGCAGGAGACTTAACCGGCGACGGTAGCGGCGATGCTGAGGCAGTAACTCATTTTATAATTAATCCGTTTGATTTATAATTGTTGAGCTCCAACAGTTGTAGGCATTATGTGTAAACGAACTAGTAAAACAGAATAAAGTAAAAATGTTTTTAGTTAATTTGTTTTTTATTATATTCAATTATGTTGCAAATATGAAATCAAAATTAATTTTTAATTTTCAGACTTAAAATTTATCTTAAAAAAATTCTAAGTAACACAATGCCAACTACTTGTGGAAATACATTAAAAAAAGAAAACAACGAATAACATGCTCTATAGCAATTTTAATACCCAGCGACAGTTTCATTAAATTTCATGGCAACATCACAAACTAAGATGGGCCTAAAGTAACCATAAACAAGCCTCAATTCCAAACAAATAACACTATTGGTCTAGATTTCTAGAAGCGTAACGAAAAGCCAACATATCTGTTTAAGCAGTCATCGTTATTTATTTTTTATATATTAAAATTCAAATTCTGAAATAAATATTTAAATGATATGTTACATGAACAACATTAACGATGCATTATATGATGAATATGTTCTACATTATTCAACGGAAACATATATTAATTTCCCATGATATATGTTGGACATGCATTGTAACAGACGCTTAGTAATTATAACCTACGTCATACCGCAGAGATCTAATGAAAGCCAAAACACGAAATTAAAATAGCATAAATAGAAGATGAAAGAAAACTAGATAATATTTAATGAAGTCTTTGAGTAAAGTACAATTATGTCGTGTAAAAAATACCTTTCATATCGCATATTTAAGAGTACAAGCTTTTATATCCTATTTTGAAATAACTTACGAATCTATAAACGAATATTGATAGGTAAGAAAGAACAAATCAATATAATATTATTTTCTACGTCTTCTATGAATAATTGTTGTAAAAATAAATAAGGGAAATATATGTTTGTATACGTGGTATACACGCAATCTAAATTTCTGCTTGCGTATGTGTGTGTCTAATATGTATGTATGAGTAAATACACGAAAAGTTGTAACTGTAATTTCGTAGAATTTTACGTAGTTTTTTTAATATGTATATATGGACTGTGAATATACAATTTATGTATGTATGCATGTTTGTGTGTTACCCTGGTTGGAGCGAGGCGCGTTGCCGGCACCCGGGAAGAGCTCGAGGTTGGATGGCGGCTTGTGGTCGGGGGAGCCAGCGTGCGAGCCCCCTTCTCCACGACGCAAATAAATAAACATTCCAGCCTCAGTTCACCATACAAATATCCCATTACGACCTAATCTAGCTACACTACGTTCGTAAGATGTTATTATTGACTATTTTGTGTACGTAATATTTTGTGAATGTTATTACTGTTTCAGTGTTCAACTGAGACAGAAAATTTTTAGAAACAGACGGAAGATACACCAACGAAAGGCTACACTTTCCAAGGAATCGAACTACAACATTTATTAATTTTCTTTTTTTCGACTAATAAAACAGACATTGAAAATGCGAAAAGAAAGGATTTATTCAAATTGGTTTAAAATTAAAAAAAAATCCTTTTTTGTCACATTGTTACACAGATAAATGAAACCTTAATCTAAATCGAGGGAAAGGGAAGGGAAGGGACAAGGGAATTAATAAAGTCTTCTGTTCGCGTACCTGAAACAGTATCTAACTACTCCGGCGACACCCAACTTGGTCGTGAATTGTAGATTAAAAAGCAAAAAAAAAAACTAAACTTTTTTAACAATACAAGAAAAGATAAATTGTACATAAGTCTGAAATACCTTAACTATTATTATTGAGTTTGCTACTGTGGTGTGTTGAAAGTACTGTTAGGAGAAAATTTAGTATGTGATGGTAGTAGTTTCGTTATGTAGTTTTTTAGTGACTCGAAGTTATTTTGTGATTTAGTTAGATGAAAGTGACATGGCTCTGAAGCCACGTGTGTCATGAATGTACCTTCACCAAGCCGTCAGCAGTGCAAAGACACCGTCAATAAGCGTGTAATATTTCCCAGCGCCCAAAAGACAACATAAAGTATTTGACTTTGGATATCAAAGTATCGATATAAAAACTTGAAATTTATACAAGGCTAGAAAAAAAATTGAAATCATAAGTAAAATCCCTTTATCGGTTATTTTTATAACGAAAATATCATTTAAAATTTACTATTGACGATTCCTTGTCGTATGATAAAAACCTGTTCCATGTTAGATTGGTGTAATTACTACCAGAACTAAAGTAATATCATAGATTAAGATCCTAAAGCAGAGAAAAAGTAAATGAGTTCAATATTATTATCTCAATAGCCTCGTGTAAATTTAGAGTATAATCAAAATTTACTTATTTCTTGTCCACAAATACCTCTTAAACCTCCCTTCACCGTAAAACGAAAACGTTTCCAAAGTCAAAGAAAAAACAACAATAAACAGCAAATAAAATGAATAATTCACCTGTCCACGGATCTTTGCCGTTGTAGTGCCGGGGCGCCGGATGAGGTCTGAATCCTAGGGCGGGTCTGGACATGGATCTGTGCTCGGGCCTAAACTCGGATCTGAGGTCGGGCCTGGGCTCGGGACGGGGCTGGTCCCAGGCCCGAAGGGGGTCGACGCTGAGGTCACCAACGGAGGAGGAGGGTGGGATATGGTTGCGGGGCCGGGACAGACTCTGCGTGGAACCGTACCGCCTACCATTATTAAGATCGTGCACGCCCTCGATGTGAAGGTCGGCTAGCGTCTTCGGCACGAATTCCATCTTCGGACGGTTAACCGCTTCCTCTTTCCTAAAAGTTAATATGTTGCATTTTACAATAACATACATTGAAATGTTACTTTAATTATACTGCAACAATCCAAAACGAGACATAAATTTGTATAAAAATTTCTATTTTTGCGTAATTTATACTTACTTTTCCATGAGAGTGGACACGAGGCCTTTAAGTATCTCAGTGCACTGTTGGTGGTACTCCAGAAGGCCCTCCGCAAAAAAACTAAGCTGCGCCACTTGCTCCACCTATTTTGTCAATACACGCAACAGTTATGGAAGAAACTTAAAGCATATAACATTTTATTACAGAACAGATTATTAACTTACATCATTATCTAGTAAATTGAACATGCCAATCTGAGCAAGTTGCAGCGACTCTGCGAACTTCTCCTCGGCCTGTCGAATCTCCTCGTCTGCAATGTGAGCACCTGATGTACGCACGCCACAAAAAATATCGCGGCAAGAGGCTCACACAAACATTAAAAATAAAAGTAGAAAACAAAAACGAAAAAATATAAAATAACTTAAGAATAAATTACAAACAAAACAATAACGTAAAGGTTAAATTATGAAATTAGCATAAAAAAAGAAAAAGAAAAGAAATGAAAAAAATACAGACCAAATGTTGAAAACAAAACCAGGCACACAAACGCGTAGATAGGAATCGGCGCGGACGCAGGTCAGGAATATGGAAGAAACGGGCGATACATATAGAGCACGGTATTAATGTTGCTTGGGTATTGAAATTAGTTCGCATATATCTAGCATTGTATCTACTGCCACTCCAACATACCCTGCCTTGGCATTCCGCCACCGGGACTCATATAAGGGCTGACCCTACCTGATCCTTGATATAATGAAATAAAAGAGAACGTTAAATTACGAACAATACTATAAAACACGCAAAAGTTATCATAAAAGATATTATTAAAACTTCAGAAATAATAATTCAAAGAACTTTAACTTTGTCACAATTAAACATCGTTCACTTTACAAAATAATCTACAAAACTATATACATGGAATCTTTATTATAAAAAATGAATTAAAGAATTGGTATTTTTGGATTATAATGTGGACATATTTATATGAAATAATCACCTTTAGCCTGCCTGCGGCGTTTGCAGTCGAAGTCAAGCCGACGTCCTTGAAGTTTCTTCCGGTGATGCTTCAACGAACAAATAAACTACTATGTAATAAATATATTTAGAAAATATAAATTAACATTAATACGTTGTAACATACTTCGTTAGATAGATAAATAAACAAAACGGCTCGCATCACATATCGCAAGTCTGCTCTAAGGATCGACTAAGAAAGGCCCTCGGGGTCCCAAACTAGTCGGTTACTCTGTGGTGTGATAATGTCTCACAAAATGTTTAATAATTTTCTAACAGAATATGATTGTTCGAGTGAGACGTACCATAACTTCTTTGAGATCTTTGGTCTGTAAATGATGCAGGGGCTCCAGGAAGCTCTGCTTGATATTATCGTCGAGGGAATATTTAACATCCGCCATTTGCTTAAGCGCCTCACCCATCTCTATCAGGCATTGTGCTGCAATAAAATTGAAATCCTTTGAAAAATACTTACTTTATTACGTTAATCCGATTATTTATTAATTGCAAAGATTCCGCTAGTGATATATTTGTTAGTTGTTTAAAGAACTCACAGAAAACAGTATCTTCTCCCAGTTTCTTCCCGTACAGCAGCATGCAGTCACCGAGCACGCCCTCTGGTTGAGGATACGTGTTGCTCTTGGCTTGTCCACTCAGTTTGCTGATGCCTTTCACAGCTGCCATCTTCGCTCGCGCCGTGGGGTTCGGCTGGAGGAATTCTTTTGTTTTCGTCTGTAGCTCTTCTACCAGCTCGCATGTTACATCTGTTTTCTATTAAGAAATAAGAGAAGGATAGAATTAGCAGTATTTTTTTTAAGATTAAAAATGTCTCGTGTTTCGTTTACTTAAAATAAGCTTTTAACTTGTAGTAGTATATTATGCTTGATGACAATAGTTGAGTGGCTGGATTCGAACCCATGACTGTAAGATCGGAGCCTGTCATCGTATAGTCGAGTTCATAAAGATCCAATAACATATTTGGAATGTAATGTTAATATTATAGCGCTTTTTTAATATTGTCTTTTTAAATCGTCTTGAAGGGCTCTGGCTTCTTTTATAAATAACATTCGTGTATTTTTAGAATAACCTTAAAAAGCCTATCTCTTGTACGTTCAATTTTCTTTAATCAATCTTATATTATCTTTTCGTGTCCGTTGTTTCAGATCCCATACCTTATGGTAATAGAGATGTTAGAGACTAAACAATGTTTATTATAGTCTTATTATTTATATACCAATAATAAACACTGGCTGTATTTTAGTATTTAGAAACAGACACATCTTAAATATTTAAATTTAGAGAGAAAATACTAGTCTATTTTTGTATGCATTAACAATCTTACATTTTCATCAGGGATAAAAGCCGTGGAAACACTTTTAGCTTACGTCTCTGAAAAACAGGTCACATTAAAGTATTCTCAGCGCCGTTGGGACACTTAGGATCCTTGTGAAAGCGGTAAGTTTTACAGAAAATATAAGCCAAGATATTCGCCGTCTAGCTCCATAAATATTACGTTTTATTTGCTTCATACTTTATAAATAAATAAATAACAGAATTTTCTATTTTTATTCACTATACGGTGCTTCTGAACGTAAATGCTAATAAGAATTGGAAAAGAAGGAGTTTCATCCATTACCTACTCGTACTTACGAATAATAAATATCGTTTTAGTTATATAATGGGTCATTTAACTGAGTTCTATGGCTGCGAAATTATAATTACCAAGTAAATGCTGATATAAAACTACAAATTACTAAGGTAACGCGTACAATCCTTTGACCACGTAACACCAGGTTGGGTTATTCTAGCGTTATTCATTTAAAAATACTATAAAGAGATTACAGGCCGAATTTAATTTACATATAAAAGTATTCAGAACAAAGTTACTTGTGCATCTCGCATGCGGCTACATTATATTGTAATCCAATGATACAGCGTGTTGTGTTTGCTTTATATGTATAATTGTCTAAATATAAATAAAATATTAAACGTACTCTTTCCATTTCCACGAAGTCCAAGTCCAGTTTTGTGCCTTCGGCGCCTCCCATTTTCTCTGTGACATACTGAAATAAAGGTGAAGTTATTAGATAATTGGCGATGTACAATATTTCAACCATGGGTTTCCACTATCGAAAAAATTATATGAAATATATTGTCATCGTTCTAATAAAAAAATACAGCATGCCTTTAAATAATTTGTCAACAACAGTGGTTGTTCCCAATAAAAACTTGCACGTCGAATTTAGTTTGGCACGATTTCATACAAAGGAATTGAAGTATCGTATCGGCCGGTTATGTACAAAAGCTCGGGTCGAGGCCTAGCCTTGGCCGAGCGCTCGCATTAAGTGTTGCGAGCGCACACATAAAATAAGTACGGCAACATTAAAATTTTCTCTTTATTATTAAATAGTCGAAAATTAATTAATACAAAAATTAACTCAATATTTGGAAGTAAATCAGATAGGATTCACATAAATATATTTTGATAGCTAATGATAAAACAGCTACTCGTAAACGTAACTTCTACGGCAAACCGATGAGAACTTTTTTGTAGTTACTTGAAAATATTTTTTTCAGACATTATTAGTAAGAATCTGATGGCGCGAATGGGGCGCTTTCATTACAAAGTCAAGTGTCAGAATGATTAGTGAGGGGACATAAACGTCGACATTTTAGTAAGGCTAGTGTTGCGCCAGTACACCGGCACAGTGCCGGATTTTATTCCTAACAGTTTATATTGGTTAATGATTTTGAAAACATTATACTTGTGTTTAAAATAAGAAAAAAATATGTTTAACTTATAGATTGGGATTAAGGTTAGGTTACGCAACCTGGGAAGCTTTATGTTGAAGGACTACCGGTAGGTGTTTGAAGGGCGTTATAATTGGGGCACATCTTCTATATAGGACGCGGTATGGGTCAGGGTCGCGGCCCTCTCGTTTCATCCCCATCACAGATAAGGGGGAGGGAGGGAGATTTAGTCGAGAATATCATTCGCAGTGTTATTGATCACGTTGTTAGAGCTCGGATATTGCGCGACGACCGGCAGTCCGTACAACGAGAGAGGAAATCAACGATGGTGTCTGAAATGAAAATGTCATAGTCGCATATTTCTTGAATGATTTAATAGGGATGTTTATTCCGTCAATTTCAGGAAAACGACCTTTTCGGTACGTATTCTTAACTAAGTAATATAAATCTTCTATACAACTAGACGGAGTTTACTTAAATGAATATGTTGTGGCCGAGCGTAAATTTAGAATACCTATATGTTTTTTATGTATTAGTATAATACTTTTAGACATTATTAGTTAGATTCCTTTAACGCGAAGGGCGCGCTTTCGTTACCTAGTCAAGTGTCAGATTGATTAGCAAGGGGAGATAAACGTTGACATTATAATAAGGCTAGTGTTGCGCCAGTACACCGGCACAGTGTCGGATTTTCTTCTTAACAGTACAAAGATTTTTTTTTGTGGAAATTGCTATCTTTTACTATATAGATTAACATAGAGATAAGCAATCAACATAGAGTATAGATTTTATGTTCGTCTATCAGTCGTCTATGGCTATGAATAAAACAAAAATAAATGGTAAAGAAGTTATCATTGTTACAGACGGAATCCAAGGATAATACGAAACGATGAATGAAAATCGAGTAGCAAAAGTCTTTATTAATAACTAGGGAGTCAATTAATTTCGGCGTTTATAATAGAAAACAATGTCTCGACATAAAACGTAGTAAATACAAGAGTAACCTTTGTTTAACCCTTATTGTGGCAAGATTTCTTTTTTGAAGAAAAGCAAAAAACTAAGTTAAAAATTATTTTATAGTGATCGTATATTTTTATAAAGTCGTATGTATGGTATACTATACAAAATGAACATAAGGGTTAAGGATTATTCAGAAATATTTTAGAGCGTAACAATGTTAATACTATAATACTTATTAAATATCGGACTTAATATCACGACTGCCCTGAGAAAAGCCGAAGACAGGACGGCGTGGAGGCAGCTGGTCGACACGGCCGTTGAAGCGTACCAGGACAAGCACGACCTTTAGTAATGAAGAATACGAAGAAGAAGAAATATCGGAATTTCAATTGTTTTAGATTTATATTTAGGGAAATATTACTTTAGTTGGAAATAACCGAATAGACGTACTAATACTAAACACAATGAAATATTAAAAACGTATTGAAAATTATATAAAGCTTGATTCAGGCTCTATGAGTTCAAAGAGAACACTTGAATATTTAACGAGAAGGAGTAGTCCGGACTAAAAACAATTTCCACGTGGATTGTAGACTAACAACACCCGGTAAATAAGAAAACGTGCATAAAATTTTAAAGAGGAACAAAAATCAAAAGGATTAATTAATATTAATCCAAACATAAATAGATATTTAGAAATGCTTAACTACACTACGAACCTGTTAATAACCGAAGAACGGGACATTCAACCGTCTTTATTAATCCGATATATATATATTTTTTTTATAACAGAAGGGGGCAAACGAGCAGCGGGAACACCGAAGTGTTCAACGACGCCCATGGACATTAGCAATACCAGAGGAACCGCAGATGCGTTGCCGGCCTTTGAGGTGGTGATAGGCTCGCTTCTTGAAGGACCCTAAGTCGTATTGGTTTGGAAATACCGCCGAGGACAGACCGTTCCACAACGCGGCTGAATTCTTCAGAGCACTCCCCGTGGTATATGCGGTAGAAAATGCAGAGGGAACTAACGTCCCTCCGCAGCGCCAGAGTGTCGAGCCGATCAGTAAGAGCTCGGTCGTTGACGATTCGAATCGCTCTCCTTTGTATGCGGTCAAATGGAAGAAGCTGGTACTGGGGTGCTCCCGCCCAGAGATGCGAGCAGTATTCCATGTGGGGCCGAACTTGCGCCTTATACAGCTGGAGGCGGTGGCCCGGTTGGAAATACTGCTTCGCTCTGCTGAGCACACCGAGTTTTTTGGAGGCCAGCTTGGCCTTGTCTTCCAAATGACCGCGAAACTGAACGTCATTCGATATGTCAACGCCGAGAATACTGATACTGGCTGAGGCAACCAGGGGAGTGGCACTGGCACTGGCAAATTGTAAAACAGACAATTTGCCAGTGTGTTGGTCGATTTTAATTTAAAAAAAAAACATGAAATCCGCTTATTACTGCACAAATCGATCGATTCATAAAGGGCTACGCTATTAAATGCACATAGAATATATCCGCGAGGCGTTGCTATGTATTATATTGTATGTAAAGGAAGTCAGATCCAATTATGGATAGAAGGCTTTTGCTAACTCGACAGGGGTGATATACACCTGCATATTTACTGACACTATTTATACAGTTATCTACTATTAGGTGTGCAATTATATAATTTAATAGCAACATCAAACAGTAGTATATAGTGATAATTAAGTTTGTAAAGCAAATTATAAAATAGATCAGACTATTAATTATTTCTAGACTTGTAGCATAGTCTTATATAATATCTTGAAAACGATGTATATATAACTTTATAATTCTTACTATCGCATTGAAATAAATATAAGAAATTAATTTAATTAAAAGGAAAAAAATTTGATCACAAAAGCTTGCGAGAACAAAATATTAAATAAAATGAATTAAACGAGAGGCTTTTAGTATTTTAAGGTCTAAAGGCAAAACAATCTCAAATCGAAAGGTAACATGATTTTATTCAAATTTAATTAGAACATGTTTATAAAATCAATTTGCTAAAGCGAATCGGCTCGACCGCTAGTAAGCAGCTTATGACAATTGTTTCCTGCGGTTAGGAAACAACCGCAAATCAAATTTTACCTACATCTGAGGATGGATAAGTATGGTGAATCGTTGGAACTTACCTGATTGGCTTTGTTTATCTGTTTCTTAAGTCCTGCAAAAGCCATGGCTGCTCAAGCACTCTATTACTAGTTTCTTTGGTTCTGAAAAAGAAAAAAGAACGTCACTCAATGCTATTATACGTTATTAAAGTTCATTTATACTCAATATACGGCTGTTTAACAGCAACACATGGTAACTTAATGGTCATCACAAAAGTTGTAATATTCAGGTCGTCTATGCCAAATAGTTCGCATACAAAATTGCTTAATAAAAGAATTAAATACGTTGTCATAAATGAAAGGAATAAAGGTATTAAAATCCTATTTTTAGTTGAAATTGAAACCGTTCATATCATTACAATCCATCGGATTGAACTAACAAACCGGCACGCTAGAAAAGCATTGTTGCATTCAATCGATTTTCAACAAAATTCTATATGAATCTCTATGTCCTATGTGTGAATTTAATTGAACTTAAATTATTCAGGTAATCTACTAATACCCAAGTAATAAAACTTTACTTTACCTAGGAACGTACACATTGTTTATTTTATGCAGTTGAATGTTATGTGATCATTACCAGAAAATTTTTAGCGTGGTTCAACCCTTTTAGCATTTTTACGTCAGGTCTAAAAATTATTTACATCTTCAATCCCCAAAATATATTCTGATCGTGGAATCTCTAATTGAATACAAAAGTTCATATGTAAGACTTCCCTACCATTATGATTCATATTCTACTTTTATTCATTTCCTTGTGACCTATTAATGTGTTCTTGTAATTTTAGTAATCTCAGCACTCTACGCCCCCTTAGAGAGACTGTTGCCTATCATAAATTACAGGTTATAAACTCGTTCACAGTAAACTGCAGTTACTTTTCACTACAGCAAGCTGCAGTAGTGTAACTTTGATTCTCAATTACGTAAAAAAATTAAAGTCAGTTCGCGAAATCTGGTTCTGTTCTAAATGTTATTAATGTGTAACTTCTAGAGGAGAAGAGAGTCGAGCAAGTTGTTATTGGCATTGTGCCACAAGGCCGGATCGATAGGTTCGCTGCGAACGTAAGTAACGTTATGTAATCTCCATTCACTAGCGTTACTAAACTAATGATGCACGATAACCAGTACGGTACATACATCTCATATTTTCCAATAGAGTAAGGCGGAAAAGAGATGAATAGATTCAGTAGCGTAGGAATGAATGAGTCGAATTCGTGAAAGACCACGCCTCGAGAGAAAATAACTTTGAAATAGCCAGTATAGATGCTGTTTTACCGAAATAATTATATTACTTACTGAAACTTCTATCAAACAATTTCATTTAAAATAACGTAGAAGTTTATGACTAATCGCTTATTATCATGATATTTTATCTAAATTTACAGTTTCTATGCTGAAACCTTTATAGGTAGAAAAATTATTGCGTATGATATTTTAATATTTTTTTAAATGTCTATGCAAAGCAATAAAACTATTTTAATTAACATTAATACTTGATCTAGGTGTTAATTGATAATATAAATACAACGTTATAATAAGATTCATAAAATTATAAAAAACGGAAGCAATACGCATCCTGAAAAAAAAACACATATCCGCTGACCCTAGAATACAACAAGCTAAAAGCATCTAACGTATAATAAAAAAGTTAAGAAACCGAAATGAATTAAAAAAGCCCGATAACAGTGGATAAACTCTTAAAGAAAGAGCTTACAATCTTAGTGCCCACTTTGACACCCACACGAATCTCATTTGATAATACAAAGTGGGTAATTACAGCAGCCGCTACTTCGACTAAGTACCTTATTAATTTTGAAAAAAATCATTCTTCACTACTGTCACAAATACATAAAACAATCATAAGTGTAATTTTGACTGAAATTCATGACTTAATCTTAAAATTAGAAGCCAAAATCTAATTCAATATTCCACAAGTAATATCTTTTTATATAATAGGTGTGAAAATTACACTGCTGTAATTTAACCGTAGATTTCTATACCATCCTAAATACCGTTATATCTAAACTTATCAATAAATATAATTTCATAATTAAACAAAAATATTTTAAGTCCATAAAACCAAATTACATGATTTTAACAATGGCTAAATTGAATATTAATAACGAAGCAAATGAAAGAAAAGGTTTTAAGGCGCATTAGTAGTCGGATAATAATACCTTTTATGTTTGAATATCGCGTTCCTTTGTGCTCTAGACTCGCGATTCACTTAATCGTTGTGGGTTTTCAAGTTTGTACGAGGTTACGGCGTAGCGCAACGTAGCTCGTAGCTCGGGCGCGACTGACGGCCGTAACGGCGTAGCACTGCGCGCTCAGCCTCGCCCCACACCACATGGACCCAATATCAATCCACATTTCTCTCATACTATTTTAAAATTATTCACAACAACCAATTTGGTACCACATTAACCTATTCTCGGTAGAAATCGTTATAATTTTTTGAACTAGACTAAAAGAGTACAAAGCTTTGTGACTGTGAAAATTAGATATTCTGAAAAAAATTCTCACATACACATGACTTAGTTACTATAGTGGCAAAAAAGTGGTGTTTCAAATTTACCTAAAATAAATATTTCTGTTCATTACGGATCTTTATATAAAAATATATTGCGTATATAAACGAGTCTTGAAAATAAGTTTTATGATTTTTTAGAACAATCAGAAATAACCTTTGATAATGGTAAAGTTCAAAGGAATAGCTGAAACGCTTTTAAGCTCCATTCACATTTCGTCTTACATTGTAAGCAATAGAAAAATCCAACGCGCGACACAGAATAAAATCTCCCGTATTAGAAGTTAAAATAACAATTTCTTTTAGATTGGCTTAAACTATTTCCCACAACTAGTTGTAGAGTTTTAACTAATTATATTTTTCCATTTCTGCGGATTCAAAGTTTATATTAACTTTGTTATTTTATTTTGCGAGTTGATTATAAAATCAAAAGTAGGTCACCTCGGGAAGCATGTGAAAAATTAAATATTATTATATAATTTTCAATATTTTTTTAACTTGAACTTATTACATTGATTTGGTTTATATTTCATACTCGAACTAATCTTGAAGTGAAGGGTTGGTACAGCTCTTTAAATTTTAGAAATTTTTAAATACAATGCACGTTAGACGACGTATAGCTTAGAACCTTCTGCGTACTAAGTCCGGTTTAAATGTGAACAACTACAGAATATTAAAATTATAAAAACTTTATGACCCATTTTTACACACTTTTATTATCTGTGCTTACACTTTTATTACTGTATTAGAGGTAATTAAATAATAGTTAAAAATATTTAATTATATCTAACACAGTAACAAACTTAATGTAAGATTTTGCTCATATTTCGTTCTGTATTATTACAGTTTTGAGTATAAATGTTACATTTCATAATTAGCTTCTCGTCTTTGTTCAACTGCGTGGCTTTCAACGACAATAATAGGGCTTGTTGGGGTCGCAGCAATAAAAATATACAATGCAGCGTTGTGATACACAGCTTTATAGACGACAGCGAGTTGACTCTCGTTGGCTTCTGATAATAAAATATTAATTATTAAAAAACGCTATGTTTATGACCTAAGTTAATAAGTATATGCTTCAGTGGTAGTATGAAAAGATTCAAAGAAGACTAATAAAGGTTTGTTTTATGGCTTGGAGTAATGTTGTTTGTACCTGCATAACCAATTATTAACGAGATAAATGTCTATGTCTAGAATTTTATTTCAAAATTTGAAATAAAATATCATTGTAGTCTTCACGTATAGTTTTAGAGATAACATATGCATATGATATTGACGTGAGATGTGGAAATTTCTAGAAAGTGTGGAGGCGTCGATGTACTTTAATAGAATCCACCCACAGGAATGACGTGGGTCGTTTTTCATTAGTCTACGGCACTCAAGAAGTGAAATAGAATCTTTCCTATTATAAACCTTGTTTATCTCATCCTTAATTAGCAGTTAAATATAGATTGTTCATTTGGCTTGTATCAACAATGGACCCTCAGAATTAAACCGGTTTGTACCAATGTGATTGTTTCGCACGTTTTAATAATAAACAGGCAATGACACTTTCGTTTTGTCATAAATATAAGTTGGTACCATTTTGTAAATACAGTAGAATTAAAAGGATGTATTTTCATGTACCAATGTGTTTTTCGATTTCCGATTTACATATGTACATTTATCTGACGTGCTTACGGTGAAGGAAAACATCGCGATGCAACCTGCACATATCTAAAAAGTAATTCAAAGATAGATATGAAGTCAACCAACCCGCACTTGGCCAGCGTGGTTGACTATAGCCTAATCACCCTTAACTTAGGGTAGGCTCCGAGCCCGGTGGGGACGTATAGTGAGCTGATGATGATGATGATTTTGATGTAAAACTTTTTTGTAAATTATGCCGCATCGAGAGTGTATCTATTACTCGGAAAAAAATTACAAATCAATTTATTTTTCACTTTAGTCGTCAGTTTGTCGTCGGCTTTAAAATCCATATCCGTAGAAGTACAAGCAAACGGGTATATCTAAAGATGGCTGTCCGAAACAAGCTAAAAATAAATTTGCACGATTGACTAGGTTGCTGTTTATAATGACCAGCCCACGCCTCGCTCGCTTCATCTTTAATAAAGTACCTTTTCGGTGTGAAGTGTGAGCGAAACAAAACTTGAATCCCCTTAATTAATGGTAGATATAAAAATATATCTAATTAAATCCAAGGAAATGATCTTCTGATACCATATTATTGTCGGGCAATTTTAAGACCAAGATTGTAATAATCAAAAACAGATTATCATTGTATCGTTTAATTCAATTCAAAATCTAATAACATTTATGTTTCTTTTTTTTTTTGTGAAAATACATTTACAAAAGCCAGTAAGAGTTTCAATTTCGGTTTTATAAATAAATAAAAAAAATTGATGTGTTGTTTGTAGAGTGTGTATTTTCGTAATTTCCCGTAAATGAACAAATAGTTTTTACCTCTTCTAAGAGATACTGTTAATGTCGAATGGGGTGACATATGTCAGTATAAATCCTTTGCGTAAAAATCTTGCGACAAGGAAGACATTAATCCGGCTCATCAGTGTTA